CTCCAGCCCCGAAGGGGCACAGTGACCCCAGCCTGGAGCTGTGATGCCTGCAGAGGAGCCTGTGGAGGGTGGGAGGCAAGGGAGAAGGGGAAAGGTGCCTGCCATCTTCTGGCTTGCCTTGATCTATAATTCATGCGCAGTGCTTATCTACTCCAGTTCCGAGGCTCTTTGTCTGTGTCTATAAGGCTCACAGGTTAGAAGAGCAAAGCCTAGAATGGGGCATTTGCTAAGGAAACTGCTGATCCCTTACTGGCTGGCTGGCAGGGCCTCACAGCCTGGTACGGGTGTGTTTGGAGGGTGGGACCTCCATAGCAGAGATAGTGTGTGTTTGTGGCTCTGGCCCAGGTAAGGCTGAGCTGAGTTATGCTCAGGGCTCCTGCCTCCCAGCTGGCCTGTGGGGGGCGGAACCAGGGCACACACTTCCCTTCCTAGTTACCTGCTCCTCAGGCTTTGTCAGTGCCAGGTGCCCTCCCCAAATTCACCTCCAGTGGAAGGTTGGGGCTGGGTCCTTGTAGCTCACAATATAGACTCAATCAAAGATGCAAATGCTTTGTAAGTGGGTTTGTGAGGTGTAACTTCTGGAGAGTCACTGTTGCCAGGAAGAATGTTCCAACCGCACATGAAAAAACGATGCCAGGGAGCTTTGGCTGGTTGGGCCCCTGCCACTTGCTCTGCCTCCTGGGTGCTGTTTGGCGTCCAGCGAGAGACTGGTGCAGACAGTGAGCTGAGCATCCACCCCTGGGGACAGACCCTTGGGAAGGATCCTGAGAAAAGGTGCTCTGGGGGCACAGGAACTTCAGGTTTGCTATTGAGGCAGCCCATTGCTGACGAGCAGATGTGCCTGAGACAGGAAGCAGAACAGAGAAATATCTTTCTCTTGCATTGGGTTTTCATGTTTCTCTCTAAAGTATATTGTGGAGGGAAATGCATCCCTCCCCTGGCAAAATAAGCTACATATCCTAGACCTGCAAATAAATAATCTCACAAAGGAAGAAAGAAGGAAATAGAATTCTCACCATCCTGCAAGCACCAGCTGAGACTCACCCTCACCTCTGGCAGTGATTTCCCCGAAGGTGGTGGGGGCCCCAGCTGGAGGGGAGCTCCTCGGGGGGCTGAGAAGAACAGGAACTGGACCACGTCGGCCTCCAGAGAGTCAGCTACTGCTGAAAAGCTCCATCATTGTTCCATTTCTTCTGAATGTACTTGAGTATATTTGGAACATAGTTTTGACTGAATAAGATTTTGAGATCCTCTTTTGACATCAAAATCACCAGCCCTTTCTCCATTTCACGCAGTAAGTTTCTTTTCTTTCTGGCACCTCTGTCCTCTGACCTAGGATGACATTTTGAAGACACGGACACTGAGTTGAGAATTGATGGGTTTCTTCCCTGTGTTAAGCTCTTTGAGCATCAGCCACACTGTTGAGAAGGTCGATACCAACATGAGAAATTGGACTGTAACCGACTGACATCTCTTTGCAGAGCTCTGGGTGCTGTTCTAATCCCTCAGTCCAGAAAAGATGCTCGGATACTTGTGTGATGTTACTATTGCCCACGGGTGAACAATGTGGTGAAATATGTCTCCATTGTACCCATTTTACAGATGGGGAAAGTGAGGCTGGGGTTCCTCCAAGGTTACGTAGGCAGGTGGTGGGGCAACACTGTAGCAAACACTGGGCACAGCAGATGGTGAAGAGCTGCCCATGAGGCACGAGCGATTTGAATGACGCTGCTCTTTGTGTTTTTTCCTTATGTGATTCCTGAGAAAGAGGGTCATCATTTTCAGTAAACTAACCAAGCCAGAACGTGAGAGTGCAGAAGGGCCTATGCTGACAACGGTTTGGAACGCATTTCCTCTTGGAATCTACCCTGTGGCTTAGCTTTCAAACCAGAGGCTCATCTTACCCAGGAAAACGTGAGTTTATTTTTTTTTCTTAATGTTCTGATGTTAACATGGACCATCCTGGATTTGTCGAGAACAAACAGATGGATGGGCAGAAGATGACAGAATCACACAGGTGACTTTAAAAAGTAACCTAAAACGGTAAAATAACTACCACTCGTAGGGGTGGAATTTCAAGGTAGCTGTGCAAATCAGCTAACCCGTCCTTTTCTTTCTGAGAGAGAAAATGGTGCTGAATTCCACCAGAGAAGAAGGCAGAGGTCCACGCGTGTAGATCGGGGGCAGGTGGTCTGCAGGCTCGCAGGCTCTGGCTGGACTCTCGGCGGAGTCGGAGAAGGCAGAGCTGGCAGGAGCCAGTGAGAGATGGGGTTGCACAGCCCTCTAGACAGGAAACCCGAGACTCCCACGGCGCGGTGCCGGCCTTGGCGCCGGGCCCAGTGTCCTCTCCCTGGGGTCCTGATCATCCAGCGCCGAGCCACCCACCCAGGCAGTCGCCTGCGCCGCGCTGTGGAACCGCGGCCTCTGTTCTGTGCAGCGGGTTCCAGAGCTTCCGAGACACGGCGCGGTCCCCGCCCAGCCTCCCGGGTAGGGCTAACTGCCCCCCTCCTTTTGAGGTCTGAACGTTTGGTTTTGTTGCTTTCAGATGGCCCCCGTGAAGACGAGATGGATATATTTTTCCCTCGTGGTTCTGGGAGCCCTTTGCTTGTATTTCAGCATGCACGACCTGTCTATTTTTAAAGGAGAGCCATTTATCTTCAAGAAAGAATACGGGAGGTTCCTCCAGCTCCCAGACGTAGACTGCGGGCACAGCCCCCCGTTCCTTGTCCTGCTGGTGACCTCCTCGCACGAGCAGCTGTTCGCTCGCACCGCCATCCGGAAGACGTGGGGCAAAGAGAAGGTCGTGAGAGGAAAACGGATAAAAACGTTCTTCCTCCTGGGAACCACCCTCAGCGAGGGCGCGTCGCGAGCGGTGGCCCAGGAAAGCCAGCGACACCGCGACATCATCCAGAAGGACTTCGTGGACGTGTACTTGAACCTGACTCTGAAGACCATGATGGGGTTCGAGTGGGTCCACCACTTCTGTCCCCAGGCGGCTTTCGTGATGAAAACGGACTCCGACATGTTCGTCAACGTCTATTACCTGGTGGAGCTGCTGCTGAAGAAAAACCGGACAAGCCGCTTCTTCACCGGCTTCTTGAAAATGAACGAGCTTCCCATCCGGGAGAAGCGCAACAAGTGGTTCGTGAGCAGGTACGAGTACCCGTGGGACAAGTACCCGCCCTTCTGCTCGGGCACCGCCTACGTGTTCTCGGGCGACGTGGCGAGCCAGGTGTACAACGTGTCCGAGGCCGTCCCCTTCATCAAGCTGGAGGACGTCTTCGTGGGGCTGTGCCTGGCGCGGCTGAGGATCGGCCTGGAGGAGCTGCACTCCGAGCAGACCTTCTTCCCCGCCGGCCTGAGCTTCTCCACCTGCCGCTTTAAGAAGATCGTCGCCTGCCACTTCATCCAGCCCCAGAAGATGCTGAGCTACTGGAAGGCCCTGGAAAGTTCGCTGGGAGAGGAGTGTCCGGCGGAGTGAGGGGAGCCCAGCGAGCAGTGATGTTGTTGAAGGATCTTCCGATGGCATCGCTGAGAACCGTCGAGGGGGAGGGAGGGAGGGAGGGAGGGGAGGAAGGAGAGGGAAGGGGAGGAAGGTGGGGACGGTGACGTCCGGTAGCTTTCCAGATCTTAAGCAGAACCCAGGCTCCAGTGAAACCGCTGATGAATTCCGTGCCAGTGCCCCGAGCAGTGATAGACCCGGCCTCCTGCCATCCCCACCATTGCGCTGGGTGTTGCACGCACGCCTTTGTCCCATTTCAGCGGCCAGCATCCGTGTGAGGTGGGGGTGCCGTCATTTCCATTTACACGGGGAACCAGCAGCCTCGGGAGGTACAGGAACTAGCCTCAGGCTCACAGCCAACAAACGTGGGAGCAGGGAGGGACGTTGAGGGCTGTCGGGATCCAGTCGGTGCCCCCTGCAGTCCACCCCGCCCTTGGGAGAGGATGGTGTGAGGAGGCCCAGAGCGCGGCCTTGCTGCTGGCACCCTTCTGTCCGTGTCGGGCGTCCCCTCCTCCTCAACTCCCAGTCCTTGTGCTCTTTAGTGCTAACACTTTAGTGAACACGCGCCCCCAGCTGCCGCCTTTCCTGTGGTGGACCTGGGTGGACACCGAGTCCCTGTTGACAGCGTGGCACTCGGCTCATCCAGACGGTGGCCTGCAGGGGCTGTGGCTCAGTCCCTGAGAAATGGCCGGCTCCAGGAAGATCAGCTTTTATACATTCTNCCCTGTTGACAGCGTGGCACTCAGCTCATCCAGACGGTGGCCTGCAGGGGCTGTGGCTCAGTCCCTGAGAAATGGCCGGCTCCAGGAAGATCAGCTTTTATACATTCTTCTCAGAAACCACTGCAAAGCCTGGCTCGTGTGCAGACCTCTTGGCTACATTGCTGACCTCCCCAAGAGCATGTCACCTGTCCGAGCCACCCGTGGCGTCCTATCTGTGTGTGCCAGATGCCCTGGATTTGCACGTTAGGTCCCTTAGTTCAAACTGGAGGGCAATCGGGCGTAAGGCTTGGTCAGTGAAGCATTCTGGGAGCTTTTCTGGGAATTCAGGTGGATTTAGGTTAAGACGGTTTCAAGGACCCCCTCAGACACTAATCGCTGGACTGAGCCCTGGTCAAGGGGGGAGATCTCCTCATGACTATTTCCCAAACTTAACCCAAGCTCATCTTTTTCAAATTTCTCATGTGGCCAAGAAACAACTGAGTTTTGTGGTATGAAGTTCAGCCTTCAACGTTCTCCCTGGAGAATTGTATGAGCCTGTTCTGCAGGGTTGTGTGGAAACGAGGCACTTCTTTGCAAGGGTCTCTGTCCATGCAGTCACTGTCACGTCACTTGCAAGGTCGTGGAAATGAATAGTTCTTACTGTTTATTGGACTTGACTTTACCAGCACTCAAAGCAAAGACCTCACGTGGCTGCGTAACTTACACATGTTGGACTAAGCTCTGACCTGAACTCAGGCAGAGATGTTTGCTGCGGAATGACCATGGCCGTGTTAAACTGGCATCCTATTTTGCACAGCGTTGTTTTGGTGTGTGTGTGTCTGGATGGAGCTGCTGCTTTGCAGATGTGTTTCCCTGTCCTGGCTGCTCTGAACGTCTGGGTCATGTTCAGAAAAGCCGCCGCCTCAGGTGGGAAAACCAGGGACTGTGTTTTTTGAAACCTGGATTTTGTCATGGCCACATCTCTCAGTCCCCTAGATGGGCTGCCTCTGGCCCTGAAGACAGTGGTGGGGCCTGAGGGCGAAGGGGTTGGTTTGGCAGTAGGGCTGGGTCTGTGCTTAGATGTCCACTGTGTCTGGTGTGTGTTCTGTGTGGCCACTGGGCTCTGGGGGCTCAGTGTGGCTGAGGCCAGTCCAGCCGGCTGCCTCCGCACCATGGTTCGGGCTCTGCCCTTCTCAGCATCAGCCATGAGCACAGCATGTGCTCTGTGTCTTCTGTGTCTTCCCAAAGGGTTTTCTGCAAACGCATCCCCCCTTCACCATTTCTTTATACAATGAAGAATTCTTTTTCTCTAGGGAAAATTTATTGTGTGGCTACAGAACCTGAAGGGACTTAGAGCTCTTTCAGCCCTCGTGTAGGATGAAAGTAAAGCTCCCAGAGACCCAGATGCTTGCTGAGGACCTCTCAGCTTGTGGGATGCAGGTTCTGGCTCAGGTGGTTCCATCGCGCCATGAGAGTGAGAAACTCGGTGACAGTGTGAGTTAGCACGCAAAGCCCTGCTTCTCCATCAATACCCAACCCTGGTTTCAAATGTTTCTGGAGAAGTGGCAGGCAGGTGGGGTGGTGACCTCACTCGCACGTGTCCAGAGAGGCAGGGTTCTGATAACGAGCGCTGTTTGCCAGGTCCTGAGGTCCGGGCTGGAAGCCTGGTCTTGCTTAGGAGGCATTTCCCTGCTGAGCAAGCCTGTGCATAGATTCCAAGGACTGCGGTTAACAGCAGAAGCCTGAGGTTTCATTGACTACGTCTTCCTGGAGCAGAGAAACGATAGGTACACTATGGTAAGGAGTGAACTACTCCATGTGACAGCAGAGACATTACAGAGCATTGAAATGTCACCAACTGCAATTCTTGTCTTTTACTTAATTACTGAACGCCATTCCCTTGCTGCCCACCCTCACAGACACCTCAGGTGAACCGCATCAGTCATTTGGGTGGGAATCCTAAGATCACAGCTACTATTCGTAGACGGCACTCTAGTTTGCATGTTTAATGGAGCTCGCCCAACCCTGGTTCCCCTTTCCTGCCTCTGTCTTTATTCTTTCTTACAACCTTCACCTGCCCTTCAGTGTCTTCCACAGGGTCCGTTTCCATTCATATAGGACGCACACTTGGGCGGGTCTTACTTCCTGTGGGCTCTGAGGTTACCCTCCTGGCCCTCACGTCCAGGGTTCTCATCCCGAACACGCGGTTGTCTTGCCTTTCTTTGCTGCGTCAAAGTGTGGGCAGCCCAGGGGGTCACGGTCCTCATTTCTGCACATGGTGACGCTGGAGGAAAACTTGAGAAAGCGGTTTCCGGGGACAGTAGGATTGCTGTGCTTTTGACCTTGAGAGCTTGCAGAGATCTGTTCCTGTCCTCTCAGGTCTGAAAACCGGGATTTCCAGTGTGTGCTTCGGCTTAGCTCTCAGAGGGGCCTCCTGACCGGCAGCCTGACACTACACCCACTCTGCCATGCTGCTTTTAGATTTTTTAAAAAAACTAAATGTGCTTAACTCTTCCCTGTCTTAAAGGACACCAAGCAGTCACACAGCACTCTGTAGAAAGAGAGGCAAGAAAAACCCAAACCAACAAAAACTTGCAGGCCTGCGCTCTGAGCTCTGCATCTCAGTTCAATGGCCTGGTTAGCATCTGGTCCCGACCCCCAAAGGTGCATGGGGCGCAGCAAACTTGATCTGCACTCCACACCATCCTGCCCCCAAGCCCGTCTTCCCCCAGGGCTCCTGGTCTTAGGAAATGTCATCACTGCCCGTCTGCCCATCTAGTTCTGCACACGAGAGTCACCGCGACCTTCCCCTCTCACAGCCCTGCCAGGTCTCAGGGTTGCGGGTTCCTGTGGATTGGGCCTCTTCTCTCCACATCCCCCATTGTTCCCTCGGTCCAGGCCACCACCTTGGTTCAACTGGACCCAGGCCACACCCTCCTAATTGGTCTCCCAGATCCAGTCACACCACCTTCCAACCTGTCCTCCACTTTACATGCAGTCACTTTTTAAAAAAAAGCAGATCGATTAGAAAACTTAGAGACAGGGACGCTGAGTAGTTGCCCTTGGGCACCCTGTTCTCTTGTCCCTGAGCTATGGGTCATTCTGGGGGTCAGACTGCTGACCCCAACTCCTACTGGGGACCCGGCACTGCTCCACTTGTTCCCCTATGCTGGCATGAGGCGCTGAAATGCACTTTTATTATATTTTTTTATTTTTAATTTTTAAAAATTTATCTTTATTGTTGAAAGTATTACAAATGACCCCCTTTCCCCCGC